TATTTTACACTTATTTCTGCTGTTATAGAGCTCATTTAATTCAAAATCGAGCTGATTCTGGGGGGAAAAGCAGAAAGCAGGAAGTCTAAAACGATCCCAAAGCTCTGAGTTCCAGCTTTTAGTCGACTGGTTTAAGCTCTTAGCACAAAGTTTCCTTCATTTGTGGAATGGATGCTGGAACAGAGCCCATTTTAGGGGAAAAAACTAATGGATTTTTGGACTTCAACCCTGTCTTGAATGAATTCTAATAATTTCAGTAAAGTTGTTTTATTTTTTTATCTTAAGCCATAAGGAAAATGACTCTTTTTCTGGTCAAAACTTTATTTACTGAAGGATTTCTCCAGAGGGCCGCACACGTTTTAAGATTTCCCAAACCCTTTGATTTAGTTGCGTCCATCTCAGCTCCTCTTTAACAGGATGTTAGTGTGTACAAGTTTTTTTTTTCACTGCATGATGTTCCAGTGTCCACTTCAGTGGCTGATCCACATTTAAAACATAAAAACCCATAAACACACAGGAAAATGTCTTCATTATCATCAACTCAGTGGTTTTCATTGCATTAAACTGAATTTGGTTGGGGTTGGACGCCATCTTTGTGCCGCTTTGTTGGGAAACACCGTCCGATCGGCTTTAGAGAGACCCAACATCTGCTCTGCCAGTTGACCTGTGGGCTCAGCCGGACGTTTTCCAGACGGGATCCTAAATGGCTGCTGCTCCTCTAACAAAAAACACGTCAGCACACAGTTTTTTTACTCGTTTTGGCCTCAGATTTTCTTCCTCAGTTGGTTTCACAACATGGTAAAAATCTCCTCGGAAACGGAGCCTCTTTTAGCCCTGAGGCTGACATAAGTCTGGTCATTGTTCCCGTTCGATCTATAAGTCATTCTTTTCTAATTTTACCTCTCTGGGATGTCAGCCAGCTGTAATATGTGATCTCTGGCTCCCTACAGCTATTCCAGCCAGTCTGCCCACACACAACACGCTCAGGGATGTCTCAGCAGCTTCTTCTTCTTCTTCTGGTCTTGTTGGTGTTGGTTCTCAGTCTTCCAGGTCACAGAAACCCTCAGAGATCCAGACAAGGAGGCTGGACGTCTTCTTCTTTGTTCTTTTAGATGTTTCTTCTCTCATCCGAAAAGCTTCTTCAGTTCTTTATTAGATGAAAACGTCTTAAAGGTCCAAGAAGAAGAAGAAGAAAAACCTTCTGCCTCTACTCAGCCTCTGAAGGCACCACCTTTTTAATCTCATTGGTCTAATTATTGAATCTGGTTAAGTCTCTGACTGTGTTCTGAATCTGGCCTTTTTGTGGGTTTCAGAGGAGAAGAAGTGGGTGAAAAAGACTTCACAGATATTCCAAAGGTCACTGAGGTTTCCAGAAGGTTTTAGAGGGCCAAAGTGATTAAGCATGGCTCAGCTTTATCTCATCAAAGCCCCATTTTCCCCATTTGAGGAGCAACTCCAGTCCATCCAGGTCATGATTAATGAAGCACTTTGTAAGAAAAGAAAAAGCAGGAAGCTGCTTTTCTGTGGAAAATAGGTCAGATTAAAAAAAAACAACCTGCTCGGGGACCCTGAATCTCCCATGATGCACCTCTCCTCCCTCTGGTCCTGGTTGGCCCCTTTTGGTCCTCCCAGCTGGTCCACAAAGATGGCCGCCCCCCTGTTTCTGCTTCTGGTGGAGGTTTTTTCCTCCCACAGTCTCCTCGTGCACGAGGTTTGAATCAGAGGAATCTGTTGGTTCCCTTTGCTGGGAAACTATAAAACCTTTCTCCGTGTCAATTCAACTGATTTGGAATTTACTGGAATCGATTGGATTTCGATCATATTGCAATGATTTTGGATTCTAAAAAGCTTGAACTGGACCAATTTTTTAATTTAATTAGAGTTCATTTGGCACTTTAAACATGTCTGACCTGAACTAAACCTATAACTTGATGTGGAAGACGTTCAATTTGGAAAAAGTAAGGACATAAGAAGCTTTTTGTGGCACCAGGTGCCCTCAGTGGGCTCCTGCTGGTGGGGTCAGAGGAGAAATGGACGGCTCTGAGTGGCTTTTAAAGGGTTAGAGCCCCACAACCACTCAAGCTATTGGCGGACTCAGACTTGAATCCAAACGTGAGCCAGCAGGATGTGTTTAAAAGTTGTGTTTGAGCTCCTCCTGGGAGTGAAGCGATCACTTACAGTCTGAGTCTGGAGGTGCTACAAAACAGTAGGAAAACAGAACTGGTCCAGTCTGGGTTGATCTGTCCGGAGGAACTGAGCTCAGGCGGTTTTCTCTGCTGTTTACAGTCATCGTAAACTTTCCATTCGGTCATTTAAAGATAAAGAAAGACTTCTGGGTCCTGCGTGAGCTGAAACTGAAGCTGCACATCTCTCTGTTCCCTCCAAGCTTTCCTGTTTTAGGGAAAACTGAACAGAGTAATCAGCATTTTTTAATCAAATCTAAATAGGAGTTTTTGTTTTTAGCTGAAAAATAACCCATGAAGAAGAAATCTACCCACCACAAAGACTTTACAGCATCCTGAATGTTTTTCTGTTCCTGTATTTTACGTTTTCAATTAAAAACTTAGCGCCCAGCGGGGTTCAGACTGTGATCAAAAGCGGGTTTTGTTTGCCTCCAGCTGACTGACGTTAAGCCTCTGAGTCTTAGAGGAACTCAGAGGAGCCGTTTCCTCAAACCTCGCTCTTCAGGCTTAGCTAATGTGACATTAATAAGACTAATGCAGATCCCCCTCCGAGGCCTCTAAATCTCACCCACAGACCCTCCAGTTAATCCCACCCAAAGCAGCGGAAAGAACAGAAAACAGGAACCGAACGAACACAAATTAGATCAGAGTGTTAAAGCCTAGAACCAGAAACTCTGATCAACACCATATTATTATTATTATTATTATTATTGTTGTTGTTGTTGTTGTTGTTGTTGTTGTTGTTGTTGTTCTGTTTTAGATAGAAACAACGATAGATAGATAGATAGATAGATAGATAGATAGATAGATAGATAGAT